GAGAGAGAGAGAGAGAGAGAGAGAGAGAGAGAGAGAGAGAGAGAGAGGGAGAGAGAGAGAGAGAGAGAGAGAGAGAGAGAGAGAGAGAGAGAGAGACTGAAAGGCAAATAACATTGTTTCAGTGAAATATGAAGCCGTGTCGTATCCTGACCTCAGGCTGAGTTAGTGGAGAAAATGAAGACTGACAGCAGTGATGTGAGGGCGGGCCCACAGATAAAGGGACACCCAGGGTACAGACAGTGGCCTCTTACATCACTCAGCGCTCTGAGCGTCTTGGAGCTCCGAGTCTTGGCCACTCTGAGCAGCGTGAGGAGAGAGGCGGACATTTTTCAAATACCTGGAGGATCTTTACACACCTGCTCAGTGGGAGGTGGGAGTACGGCTCTGTTCAGAGACAACACAATATCAACCTCTGCATTGGACTGATTGACGCTATTCAGACCTGACCGCAGAATCTAAACTGTGTAAACATGTTCGTATCCATAGATCCACGATGCACAGGGATGGGGATCAAACTGTACATATTTTAGAGAATGCAATCTCCAAGATGATCAATGTCAGTCCACACTACGTCTGTTTGACTTAGTGGGGCACTTTGTTATTGTTGGAAAACAATGAAGACAGCAGTTAGAACGTTGTTGAGGGTCGGAGGGTGGTTGGCCCCAAGGGCAGGAACCTGCAGTGTAATCAAGGCCGTCGCCAAATTACAGGCCAAAGACACTAATAAGCAGAGTTCAATGCAGGGCTGAGGGAGAGGTCACCCATTCTTAATATTCTTGAGTCACGGAGCAAATTCCTACGTACAACGTCAACACTAGACAGCAGAGCGAGGCCCTACTTATTGCTCGGAATTCTAAGTGTACCGGAACACGAGCTCACCTTCGTTTACCACGTCGGAAAAAGCTTTCAGCGGGTAAACAGTAACAGCACTACATTCAGCTCAGTGCGTAGCGAAGGAGGAATGTAGAGCGGGTCGGCAAAAAAAGGATGTGCTGGTTCGTTCGGCATTTTTTGTTTAGAACACAGACATCACTAAAAGGAAAACTGTGGATGCGAGTGTCTGTCAACAAGCATGTGCATGTTTGTAGAACACATCAACAGAAATGAGAAGAGCAACAGATATCTTGCCAGCTCCGAGACGCACTTTCTATCCAAAAGGAAATCGGTACTTAAAAAATAAACAGATTAAAGAGCAGAAACATCTGTACTATTTGATGCTATTCTTGAAATAATTACACAAGCTATGTGTTGATTATTTTGTGCTTCATAGGACATTTGTAGTTTGAATGAGGATGTGTTATTGTAGGCCAACCAGGAGGTTAGCATCACGATGGTTCCCTCAACAAGACAAAGATTTTGGATTATTGCATATAAATAATAACTATGAGGCAAACAAACTTTCATGCAAGAGAATGTTCACAAATACACAAATGTTTATCATTTTTTGAAGCGTAAATGCAATCGGCAGAATAAAACCTTAATGTTAGGCTATAAAAGAACGACACAGCGGCCGCATGTCTCCTACGTCACCATCACGAAGCAAAAGGCAGACTCATGTTTTCAACATGACGTTCAGTAGTTCACATTTAGCCATTTGTTAGCAATCGTCAAAAGCCACAAGTGGGGTTTTCAAAGTATTTGATGTCGCAGAACAAACAATGGCAACCTCTTATGTTTGTGTTAAACACAGACGTTCAGGCATTTAACCAAAAACCCATTCAAAGAAACCTCTGACTTTGAGTCAAAGGAACCATTTCCTGGTTTTTAGCGCTCATTTCTGCAGCACTCTATCACCTGTAGTCAATATTTCATTTTACACCAGCTACCAGTTTGTTACATACACCTGTATAATCCTGCAGCATCTCCCATCGAAGTGAAACAGTGAAAGGTGGTGACATCATTCACACATTATTGAGTTCTACATTCAGAGGGTTTGTGCAGTGATTAGGCCGACATGTGCTGTGCAAAAAGCCAAAACAAACCACTATCTCTTAGACACTGACATAGACATGCATGGCCTTGATAACTGACCTGGTTGATTGCATTGGCGCTGCAAGAGGCGAGGCATGTTCCCAGGGAGGCGACGAAGAAGGTGAGGGGGTCAAACGGCACTGGAGCCATTGCAAAGCCGGCTGCTGCACTCGTCACCACCAGTGCTGAGAACACCAAGCAAGAGATAAGAGACCAAATTAAAACAGGAGTGAGAACGTTTTCTTCTTTAAGTATTACTTCTTAAAGCAACAGTCAAAGAACACTGCAAATGCTTTGCCTTGTTGCTGTAGAAGAATGATTCAATACAAACAAGAAACAGCACATTATCTGAGGGCAAAATGAACTTATTTTATTAGAACTTGTTAAAATAAGTTCATTGCACCACACAAATTACTTTATGATCTGTATGTTCAGTATGTTCCCAACAACACTCGTAGTTTCTCAACAAACGTAGCTAAACAGATGGTGCCGGCAGCGCATTTAGATGCGTTCATTTGTTGTCTTTGTTACTGGAGCATGTACGGTATATGACAGCGATAAACTCAACATCAGAGAAGGAAGCGTGGGGATTGGATAAAGCGAACCTTGAGACGATCACCTCCCTCGACAGCCGGACCGAACGCCGGGAGGAAAGCAGGGATGGGAGCTAAGCTAACCCAGCTAGCACGTAAAGCTACTCCACTACCTAGCCTACTGCTGGCTAATTGGTTTGTCTTGTCGTGTTTTTCTTGTGAAGCGTAAGTGGAATAGGCTACAGCTGTATTTCCTTTGTGCCACCCTGCGTTGCAGAATGATAATAAACAATCTTTGAATACTAGGCTAGCTCAGCAGCTCCACCACTAGTAGCATATCTCTCAATTTATGCAAATAAAAGGTTGTTTGGAATAGACTGAGCACACAGATAAACAGCAGAGATTATGTTGTAGGTCTCGTCTCCTGTGACAATGCCCAACACCAACAATAGCACACTGATGCTTAACAACAGGCAGTAGTTTCATATAACTATTTACTGAGTAAGCAAACATGAAGGTTATCTCGGACACAATGCATTGCTATGAAATCTTTCCTGCTCGTGTATCTGTAGAAGCAGATATGTTTGTAAATATGTGTTCATTAACAACTTTGTATTTGCATACATTTTCATACGCGAGTAGTTCATATTATATGGAACAAAGACGTGTTGTGTGCTCTACCTGTGAGTTTGATTTTAGCAAGCTTGGCATAGATATCCGGCAGGTCAGCTACATCGACTTTCATCTGCTTCCACTGTCTGTCTAGACGTGCTTCCTTTGCCTCGTCCGTCTCCACGTGGACATGAGGAGTCTCGTCTGAAGTCACAACACCGCCAGACTCAGAATCTTTCTGTAGCGCCACATCGTCTGTATAGGGCTCCGAGGTGGATATCCCAGGCTGTGCTTTACTGGTGATATTCTCCGACTGCGATACATCATCTGTGACCACAGGATCAATAGTTGGTATTCTCTGCACCTGTCTTTCGACGCTGTCGTCCCTCTCATCCACAATGGTCAGGGCTGAAGTCGGTTTGGGGGCGGCACGTTGGTGAAGCTCACTGTTGTTCTTTGCTACATACTGAAAGGAAACCCGGTGCAGAAAGTGAGTTACGGGATAATTTACTGACAACAGATACGTACTATATATAAAATAAATGTATGGTCAAGGTATGGTTTGATAACAAGCAACACAATATTTTTAAGCTGCACGAGAAAGCAGAAATTATATCGCGAGAGATACCTGGCGTTTCAGGAAGGTGAGGTGCTGGTACGTCAGCCAGTTTGATGGATCTCTTTTGTGCAGCTGAATGAGGCTGCGAGCGGTCTGGTTACATTGAGGAACATTTTGAACTAATATCTGCTTCACGCTGACACCAACCAAACCTACAAGACATAAACACAAGGTGTATTCATTAAAATAAATACTTCTGTCTGTCTCTAAACAATACACATGAAGAAGAGAAGGAAAAACAAGACAATAACTCATTAATTCTTGCATGGAATAAAATAACACAAACTATAAGCCGCATGTAACACACACAATGTGTTATGCACAAAACTGGAGCATGAGCAAAACACTGAAAGTTAAGATAACCCCATGGTGGTCCTGTCACGTAACAGTTATAAAACCCCACATAACATAATAAGTCAGTCGTCAGCTAATGTCGGTCTCTGCAGATGCGGTTGACTTCTATCTAAGGTCACTGCTAGCCTGTTGCCAAACATCTCAGCAGCTATAGATAGCTACATGCTACATAGCCAGCTAGCTTCCGCCTTAGCTTCCATGGCTGTTTTCAGCTAGCGCAGATTAAACATTTTACTTTGAAATGCAGCGGCATGTTAAACGATATGACACGTGTCCTGTTGAGTTACCTGACAGTCTGCTACATGGCGTTTTGTACATGTTCTCGAAGCATAAAGCCGGCTCCCGTTTCGGTTTCGACCCCTTCACATGCAGCGAGCCGCCATTACGACCTCGGTGGTGCAAGAGAAACACTTCCGGGGCAGAATACGTCATCTGGTCTGTGCGCTGCAGACGCTTTCATTAAAGTTATTATCAAAAGAACCATCAAATTAATAATATACGTATTAATCATATTACCAGACTATGCGGTAATAATATACATGTACCGTAAATAGCTGCTGCTTGAAGATGAACAAAAACTAATGAGTACTTAAAATCATATTAAAGAAATAACACAGCAAAGCAACTATTATTCACTAGAGAACAAACTATAACTGAGTAATTACGTATTATATATATATTTGTATATTTATATTTGTATTCCCACTCAGGCTCCTTTTAATGAGGAACTCCAATCAGTTGAGCTGAATTAAAGTAGTGTGTAACAACATGTGTTTGTGTGTATTGAACACCGGTAGGAGTTTTACCTTTACATAAGTCAGGTTACCAGAAAACCTCTGTCACTGTTCAATAAATCTGGGCTGAAGATGGGATTCATTATAATTCAAAATCTCCATCTCATTCAATGTCTGGCCTTTTGCCTTCTGCCCTTGTATGTCCTCTGACTAGCCCCGCCGTTTGGCCTGTTATTTATGTGTATGATCATCTCGTTGGCCCTGGCTGCCACGGCCAACAAGATGGAAACCTTCTGATTAATTCTGCTTTCACTTTGCTGCCTGGCTTTATTCAAACAAAGATAATGAAACAGTATGATTGTCTGCTTCAGCGCAGTGTTTCATTTCCTTGAATAATAACATTTTGCAGATGCAGCGGGATGATTATTACTGCTTTGATTGTTAAGGTCATATTCTGTACACGGACAAAAAAACATTCCAGTACAAATGTACTGTAAGTATTGTATTAAGTTTATACACAGAGTCATATGACGTGAATGTTTTGCTTTATGAATGGTGGTGCAAACGTCCTTTACAATCACATGTTCTCAAATCCTCACTGCAATCCAAGCTGAGCATCCAATTCTCCAGATTCATCTCGTTCACGCCACTCTACTGCCAGTTCCTCCTTCGCTGCTAAGATTACATGGTGTAATCTTCATGCACGATCAAGATGCAGGGGATAGTGAACGCCAACAATACACACGAGGCCATGCGAGATCCAGCACTAGATCACCTTTATTACGAGAGATAACCATTGTGTGCTGTTCTACAGGATTTCATTCCGCATTGACCCGGTCAACCTCTTTAGGTTTGGTTTTAATGTGAGTGGTGAAAAGGAGGTTTATTGCTTGGTTTTACACCATATTATTTATTTCCAGCGTGCTGCTATACAATTTCAATGTTCCATGTTTTTTTTCATTTCGCTTTTTCCAAGGCTGCAGAAATAGAGTCTCTGGGGGCAGGATCAAGCCTGCCAAGTTTATGGCTGTGCAGGGCACGGCGTCAAACCATAATCTTTTGTATAGCAATCTGTGCACGGCTACCACTACAGATGACTGACATGCTTAACAGAATGTCAGGGCCTCACATTAACCAACAGGCTCATTCATGAGTACGCAGCCGCCCCCGTCTTGCTCTGGACGGGAATGGAATAATATTTGTTTCTTGCATCCGGTGATAGTTTAGCCCCTGCCAATGCGTGTGACTTGGACTAGCTCAAGGGAATCAATTCCAAGGAACCAGCTCTCTTTATCCCTACGCCTGGCCATCAGTCTGGCAGCTGGGGCTAATGCATTTGAACTATATCATTTGGTGTTTTATTCACGTATTTCTAACTTGTATCTTTAATTTAAAGGCGGAAAAATACAATTTGTTGTTGAGGATTTGTGGTGAAGTACCGTAAGACAAACTAACACCTTTTTTTATCTTGGATTTGGTGAGTTGTTCTCCTAAAGCCAGGAAGCTCTACTTGTTTAGATAATTGTACGCTGCACTCCGGTGAGTAAAGACAAAGACAAAATGCTTTGAAGGCCTTCTGTCCATAAGGTGGACCAAAAGACAGGAAGTGAACAGCAGATGGACAGAAAGGAGTGGAATAGCTCAGTAACAATAGGAGGAGTTTGTGAGGTCTGTTCAACCCAGAGGGGTCTTTCAGGAGAGTCTTTACAGTTATTTTACCTCTGGTGGTGGTCTCAGTGTGAGGGCCCTTTTATCACGCTGCTTTCACTGCATCTTGAAAAAATTAAATGGCTGTAAACATGCTCTCTAGAGAGAAAGAAAGACACAAAGGAAGGCACGGCTTGTGCTGTGTGAGAGCGAAGACATACAGTTTATCAGAGTAAAAGCAGGCTGATGTCAGCCAGGGAATACCAGACCTGGAGTGCTGAAAGTTGCAGGATGGGTTTAGGATTTTATGGATTTGGAATAGTAGTAAAAGGCAACTTAGAGGAAAAAAATAGCAGACTTTTATTATCTGTAGGCTGGGAATAGTTCTAATAAATGAGGACCGAACTGACACATAGATATGGGTCTGTGTTTTTTCTTCACGAAATAACTAATGATCGCTTAAAATCCTTTGTTATCTCGGCTAAATTGCTTCAAAATAGCATATTTTACTTTCATGGACAGCCAAGAGAAATAATTCCAAAGTGGAAAGCAGACGTCAGTAAGATTGATGGGCTAGCATGTTGTTAGGATCTCTGGCTGTCGGGTTCACTGTGAAGTTGGTGTGGCGACAGGAAAACGGGTCTCTTCAGCAATTTCAAGGGTCCAGGAATTTACTCCGTTTTCTATTTAAAACACAGCTCCTTGGCACTTAGTGGTGAAAAGGTGACATGTTGAATCAATTGAAGGTAGCATGGGCCCCAGGTTGTGTAAGCAATGTGCCGAAGGGTCATTCATAGACATTAATAAGAAAGGCCTCCACGCAAACAGCCTGCTGCCCACATATGGCCCTCACAAAACGGCCAAATCATTTTTTAAGCTAGTTTTACATCTCGTCTCACACTGGGGAATGCGCTGAGCGCCCATATAATGAGACACCCCCCTTGAAGCCCCAATAAATGGCGTAGTCGAATAACAGAGGCCTCCCAGACCTGTCATCGCCCCAGTTCATCTGCTCTGATTTACAAGCGCTGTCCCAGAGGCTTTAGGGCCATCACTAATCCCACAGGGATGACCATCTGAATGACAGTGGAGTCAGACCTTCTAAAAAAACAACAGAAGGAGGCAGACAGTGCTGCATAACTCCCAAGCAGAAACAGATGCAGAGACGCTCTCCTGTTTATAATTGATTTTCAAGGGCAACATCTTGTTGTCATAGTTTGTCTAACGAGCCCCTGGCTGGCGCCCTGTTGCTTGTCAACCACAGGGTGTCAGATGGAGCAGCCGTCCGCCACCCCACCCCCGCTGGGATGGCACCATGCTGGAATACTGACATCGCCCAAGGAATTTCCCTGCGAGACGGTCTCCTGCTCGCTTTTAAAATCCTACCCGCCTCCTTTTTAAAGGTATTTTGAGTCGGCGAAGCGTCCAAAAGACCTCCAGAGGAGAACTGTTGTCTTCTCCCAGCTGCCCGGCCGGAGACACTGCCCTCTTTCCACGGACAGCAGGTATCATCCGGCCCTACATGGCCACCAATGTTTATGTCTGAGATCAGGGGTGTCTTTGTGGGCCTCCAAGGCTAAGCCTCTAATTGGCCATGGCTCATCAATCACACAGAGCCAACCCTTTCACCCAAAGTCTCATCCAAACAGCTAAGAGGAAGGAGACCCATGGAATGAACTCTATGGCTCCCAAAGGCCTAAAAGTAGGCTTTGGGAGGGGCAAGCCGTTGGAGAAAAAAAACCACAACGTATTCCAAGTCGATGTCAAGCAATGTAAGCGTCTGTCCTTTGTCTTTTCCTGACATGCTTCAACCACTTCCCCCTTAAACGAATAAAAAGTATAGGTGTGTCACCCCAGTGTGTGATACAGTCGAGGAGCATGGGGTGCTTTTTTTTAATAACGCACGAGATGCTCAGACTGGCATACATGCTGTGTGAACCAATTTATTGAATCTCATTACATGCGTAAAAGTGTTAGTTCAAAGAGAGAAGACAAAACATCTGGCTTCACTTTGTTTCTTATTTGCTGTTTTCACTTGAACTTGACCTCAAAGTGATTTATTGAACCGGGTGAGAGCAAGAGCATTTCTTTCATTCCACTTTATTACTGTATCTCGGTTTGGTGGCGGCGACCGGCGGGCGGGTGGAGAACAAGGTGACACTCTGCAGCGATGCTGTTTAAGTGTGTCTGGAACTATAATCCAGAAGCATGCTCCAGACAGGGTCAGAGGGGTCATTGCAACTCCTCAGCCGTTGTGCAGCCATTATTTGGTTTGGCTGAACTCTGAAAGTCCAGGATTTGGCCACAGCGTAACGTCGAGCCCACGAATTTGTCAAGAGGAATAAGGAAAAGTCCACAGCACATGCGGTTTATGGGGTCAAAGCAAAGCCTCCACATTTCCTCACATCCAGAGACGGCATGTGCAACACTCAATGTGTTTTTCCCATCAGTCTGGGTGTGTTTCTTATTTATTCTTTCATCCCTCTGTCCCTTCATTCATCATTCATTTACCACAAGTCAGGTCCGCGTGTTGTGTTTGTCCATGGGAAACGTGGAGGTCATGGAGGTTTGATGAAGAACAAGTCAAACAAAACTGGGTTACTGTGCTTCCATTCGCCATATCATAAACACAAATACACACACTAAACTTCCCCGGAGCCGGCCCGTGTCCAATTCTCTCCAGTAACCGAGAGTAATCAGCTGTGTCATCCTCGTCATAAATCTCCAAGTACGGCAGTGGCTCCTAGCCCAGATGGGGATAGGCCTTGTTCAGTCGCACTTGCCTCCGCATCATAAATCCATGGCCGTCTTCGCAGGAGCGGTTTCCTGCTTTGTGTGTGTCTCCCAACAGAGGAGTACATGGGGGAGGCGAGGATATTGCAAGACCGCAGCCTCCTAAAGGAGTCAATTTGCAAAATGGACTGTCTCTTCCTCCCCGCAGAAATAATGGTGGGTTTCCAGGCAATTTCTCTTTTTTTTTTACCATCACATGCAGATTTGCAGCTGGGT